TTAACCTTTCTGATGGCTGTCATTTTGACATATATTCTGCTCTAGATGTTATAATCGTGAGAAGATCCTTCTATGTTATAATGTTCGTCAGGTCGCTCTTTTCGATATCGTTACGTAATATCTTCAGATAATCATGCCAGCTCTTTCTGAATGTTTCCTCTGTGGGGAGGTAGTGAAGCGCCTGTACGATCACTTATTCCATTATCATCAGTACACGAAGGAAAAATTGGAGTGCTTAAAGTGGTCGAGAGGAGAGATGAGGAAGCGGGGTGATGTGGAAAAAGAAAATGCCATCTTTCCGTGCGACAACTGCGAAAAGGAGTTTTCCTTAAAGAATTCGTTATATTGTATAAATTGTATAAATTTGTATAAAATGTAATACATTGTATAAATGCGATTTCTTCACTATTTTGGAAAACTTTGCATTCATACGAAGTCATAAATAAAAACTACTTTGAAATACTTGTAATGGTAATACTCACAGTCATAGTCAGGAAAGCTTTGTAATTTAATAAATGGACTTTTAGAAGTTAGGGCGCTGAAAAATCCCGAACCTAGGGAATCATTCGAGAAAACACAAAAGAGCTTAACAGTTGTTCTGCATTCTGAACGTTTCACTCATAAGAATTATATGTTATAAAAACCTACTTGTAGTTCCTGAAGGTCAAATGCATTTAATTCACGGAAGCGCTATAATAACCGAAATCAATGGTACATCCAGAAACTAGGGGTGCTGAAATACCTACCGATGAATTAAATTCAAGAAATCATTGTTCACCTACACCTTCCATGGCTAAAAGTTTAAAGGGCCAGCAAGCCATGCTCCAATCCAACAAGGCGCCCCAATGACAACGGGTTACTGTAACACGGATTCCCGGCCTGTGGAATCTGTCTGGTATCGCGGACTTGTGTCGCTAGATTAGAACCAAAACTTTTCTTCATGTTTCCTGTTTACACGTACTGTACAATGTCATCAACGAGTAGTGCTATATGCTGGATACCGGGACCACCATTATAGGAGACGAATTCCTTAATCAACAAACAAATTCAGAGGTGAACTATTAGTAGTAGATATGATGTGGTTTATTCCAGACCTCTATTTGACTCCTTCCTTTTCGACCAGGTACTGCTTCTGCCAGTGTCATTTGCACCTTCTGATCATCATTGGTAATCAGCCATGCTTTCATAGCTGAAAACTCAGATGTTGTAATTTTGTCGTCAATGGACCTGAAATTAGCCGAGTGTAAACATTCCAGACCACAGGGTGGGCACTCTTCGCCTTGGGGGGGGGGGAAGGGTGGCATTCAGGGAACTCCTAGTGCAGAGACCGTGCTACATGGGAGGAAGTTAGGGTTCCTCATGCTTTAAATAAAAAAATATCTGCGGATGTAGGTGAATCAAATCTTTGCGTGAAGAAGGAATTCGCGCTACAGTATGCCAACTTTTGAATAGAGAGTCCTGTAAATGCCAACCTCCCCCTTACTCCTCCTCGTAGGCGAAATGCACCCACAGTGCATAGATCCAAAAGCTGTTGTGCATAGATCCAAAAGTTGCTTACCAGAACCGTTGTAACGCCAATACTTCGGTTGTACCAATCGGCAGCATCTTCTATCGTATTCACTGGATAGTTCTGTACAACATGGTCCAGCAGTACAACCGGAATATCTTTTCTGCAAGCTATCCGTGAATCGCAGCTACTCTCAAAAATAATGGTTGAGCAAAATTTAAAAAGGTAAACTTGTACTCACAAGCAAGCACACAACGGGAAGTCGTCTACAGACGAGTAACCAGGAAGGAAAACACCGGAGAAATCTTTATCTTCTATTAATGTGTGCGTGATATCGCTATCCTAAAAATAAACCAATGATGTTTTTGGCTTTTTTAGGGAGGCTCACATTTTCCTCTTCCATTCAGAATCGTAGTGGCATTTTGAAAACAGTTGGTTCATACAATGAGCGGCTCACCCCGCTTTCCTTCTTTCTAAATGAGTGGCAATAATTTACTGACCCCGGAAGGATGTAAGGCCCGCGCGGAGCGCGATCCGAGATTTCATCCCTGAACCACGTACGCAGCGCCACTGGTCACTGCACCACACCAATCCCCTGTATCCTTATACCGAATTATCATATTAGCTGCGGTCCAGACTTACGTTTTTTGCGATTCTCCTCACTATTCTTTCTTTTGTCAGGTGATTTTTGTTTTTTTTCTTTCGAATCCTATGGTCATAATAGATAAATGAATAAATAAGTAAATAAATTGAAACCTGGCGGCCTTCCACAGAGTGTGGCCCTCATGAAGTATTTATGATTCGTTTCGAACAATTTTCGCATCCTTTTAATTTTTATAGCGAAATCCAGATTTTCGCAACACTAAAAACTTCTATTCGTATTTCTAGATCTCCTGCGATCCAAGGATGAAGCTGATTTTGGACGACTACCCATCGGATTCCACGGGATGTCAAACGAACACCTTGATGACTGCTGCTCAGAGGTCAAATTTCTTCGTGAGAGCTCTGAATTAGTATCGTCGTACATTCCTCGTCTCTCATGCGCAGAGAACTCTTGGCAACTTGTGCAGAAAGGGAATGGAGGCGTAACTCTCCCAAGGGTTGGCATGTTTCTCTCGACAGTGGCGGGATCGCTGAGAGCTTCATTGGGCGGAGCATATGCCATGCAGAAGTTGTTGCGTCAATATAGGCGGGATATGACAAGGTTCCACATATTTGAACACTATCACGGGTTTCGTTCACCCTTTGTAGGAGTGGTTTTTGTCGACTCAGTCTCCTGGTTTGTCTTCCTTTGTCTCTAGTCTCTCACTCGTGCAGCAGTGCGTCGTAACTGGTCACCCTCTCCTGGGTCTTACCTAGAACGTTTTGGACGATGTTGTCCTTTTTTGTTCATTGGCAAGCAAACTAGCGTCCGCGAATTCTTGTATGGACAATTGTAGGTGCGGATGTTACTCCGAAGAAGCGTCCACGGTTATCCAATATGCCCTTCATCGGATCAGTTGCTCTACAGTCGCAGGGGATGTCCCGTTTTTGTTGCTTGAAATTGCTTCATGTAAACGGGAGAGCTTTGCCACGCTCTGTCGTCTCCGCCCATTGATCATCGCGCTTTCATGTGGTTCCATAGTAGCTGCTTTGGCGAAGGGGAGGTTCATTCGCCACATCATTTCTTTCCCTAATCTACGCTTAGTTTCTCTTCACCGTATAATCCTCCAATATTTGGAACCAGCAGGTGTCTTGTTATGGGCGTTTTCTACGGTTCTTTTGCTTGTTTTTCTCAGTTGGTATTCCTGTTACCTGATGATCCAAAGATTTTAAGTCCTACACACTGCAAAACGCGATCGCAGGCGCTGAATGCTGCTGATGGTCTCCACCCACTAGTCGATTATTGGATACATCATGTAGTAAAGTTTGAAATGGTTCTCCTGTATTTGTCGAATACTATTAAGAAATGGAAAAAATGATGATATTAGAGTTGCACGACGATCATACAATTCGAGAAAAACCCGGTAATCATACCCTTCTCTGCGCTGTGTGATTTTAAGTTGATTATAGTATGGCCGTAGTTCGCAGCGATACCGACAGACCCCAAGCTTTTGAAAAAATCGCGGCGACACAAATGTCTGCAAATGACATTTGTGGCTAAGGGGTTCAAGTAAGGATGCGAAGGTGCTAATTAAGTCAAGGGTAAAGGAAACCGAAGGAAGCGCCCCGAGAAGAGCCTTTTTTAGTGGCATTATGTGCAGGGCCCGTCGCTAAGCCAAAGTTATCAGGCTAGTTGACTTTAGTCGCCAGGGGGGTAACATTTTACCACTACAAAATTTTCCGGTACCTTACCTCCCCACATGGCCAGTAGACGGCTGCGCAAAACTACCACTCTGATAACTGAGCGAGGCTGACTACGCTCTACCCTTACTCTTGTGAGAGAGATCGCTCTACAAGGGAACCCCAACAGGTCGATCCGGCCATTTGCAATGAGATGTACACATGTGGACGTGTCTTGAGCCGCTGAATCCAAATCTGCCCTCCGATTTTGCGGAACGATTCTCTGAACGGGAGTTATGGGGCTTTT